AGAAGTAAAACGCAAGGTAACTACTGGAAGTAAAAAAACTACTACTCTTCCATTTTGCTATTCTTCATAAATTCAATGAGAAACAGGGCAGCCTTCAACCCTTACACCAGCTGCCGTGGGGCACTTTGCCAGCGGGCAGTGATCGTCCACCGCCAGTCCCCACCACTTGGGCCCACCAATCCCATTAAACTGCAGCGTGAAATAACACAACGTGGCCATGAACGCAACCCCAGCATCCAAACCCCCCGACAGGATATAATTGTGCCGGGCCCACCACCCCCTGAACCTCCTATACACGTACAGGTTGAAAAACAGCCCCACACTAAACCAGCACATGTAGTTCACCGCCTTTGCCACCGGCATCGAGCTCGCACCCGATATAATAATCGGCACGTTTACGTACCTAATCCACTTCTTGTGCGGATATTTGTGAGAAAAGTACCACACGGGCACCGGGCCAAGAAGCCCGAATAGGAAGAAGTAGTTCACCTTTGGGTAAAGCCCAAGTTTCCCGAACATGCGAAGCGGGCCCACCACACCCCATATTATGGAGGCATTGTAGAAGACATCGTCTCCTGGGCAAGTCCACGGGCTTCCGTCAGGTAATTTTGACGGGTCGCATATGTTTTCTATGGTCGTTAGTAGCCACCAAGCCGTGCTGAAGCAGACCAGTGATGTGATGACTGTGCCCACGAGCTTTATTGAGAAATCGAAAAATATATTTTTCTTGAATTAGTTGATATAGATCAAGAAGGTGGTAATTTGTGTTGAACAATTCTTTTTTAAGATGCCTACCTGAACAAGGAACATGGATTTTGGAGGGATCTTCATGTAATGACCCAATTTGAAGTCTGAAAGAAATGTAATGGCTTGTGACATGCTTATTGTGCCATAGGTTTTGAAGGCCACGTTGGCTAGAGGCTTTCCAGGATACATGTAGCCGATAATCATCTCCGAGATAACATTTAATCCTGCTTGCTGAACGAAATAATAATAATTTTAAAAAAAAAAATCATTTTATTTGA